TATACCCGATATTGGTCATAATTTACAAGAACATTCTGTAGTCTTAGTAAGAGGGGGAGGGTTAATGATTTACCCGGTGAGAGATATCACATTGTTCGAGGAACCCTAGATGTTGTCGGAGTAAAGGATCGTCAACAAGGGTGTTCTAGTGCGTTGTAGATTCTTATCCAAGACATGTATCATTTGATAATGCCATGTGAATCGCTAGAAACATGTGAAGTGAATGGCTAACCCAATAACGAAAGTTTCGTAAGGGAACTGGAGAAGGTTACTATGAGACAAAATATATTCTTTCTAAAGAGATTCGATTCGAAACTATGATATGTCCAAGGTCCAATATTGAAATAATTTCAGAGGTTTTCCTTGACTTTGTCCGTGTCAACAAACAATTCGAAATGCCTCGACTTTTTTAGAATAGGTTCGAGTCAAATAGCAATGATTCGAAGCACTTTACACTATTTCGGAAACCCAAGGACTCAATCGTATGGATATGTAAAATACAAGATTTCCGATTAATTACACAACTTATTATTTACAAAAAATGTCATATTTGCAAAAACAAAATTCTACAATTGTATTGCTAAATTCAAAATAAGATAAATTAATGGGTAAACAATGTATCTTTCACTTTCAACTAACTTATCAGAAAAATTATTGATCTTTCAAATAAACAAATTCAACAATGTTATGCATATCTATGATGTAAGTCTTAAGTTGATTATTAAACTTCACCAAATCAATTGAACAAAAATCATGTTGATAAAATTTTACAAATACAATAAGTTTTGGCATATCAAAACTAGAGAAAAAATCGACTAGACTCAAATAAGGCATATAAAGAAATAACTGAGTATTTGTCTGAGAGAAGCGATCATGAATTTCCTTAAATTGCATATCACAATATTATAAAATAATTCAACATGATAATGATTATTTTTTTCCATGAAGCATGTTATGTAGGGATGGCAATGGGTCTGGATGGGTCCGGGCAGTGTATTACCCAGACCCGTCCCACTTCTTTGTTTTTGGATAATTAACAAAAGAAAAATTATAAAACTTAATTTAAAGTTTTAAAAACAACGTAATTTGACTATTAAACATAACTCATTTTACTCTAACAAAAAATAAAAAGAACTTCAACATTAGGATGAAAAATTTATTTAGTATGAACTCTTCGATTAACATAACATTACATCATACATATGAATTAACAACATAGTATCATTGCTTAACAACATAACATCACAGTTTAACAACATAACAATCACATTTACGAATTGATATGATATTATAATTATGGATTAATATGATATTAGAATATAGATTAACATGATATTACAATTAGGTTGATATATATATGAAGAAATAGTGAGTTCGGGTACCGACGGGTCTGGGTACCTTATTATCCGGACTCAGACACATCTAACAGTAGGTCTTAAAATCGCGGGTCTCAATTACCTACGAGTCTAAAACATGGACCCAAACCCGACTGCGGGTACCCGCAGACCCGAGTACTCATTTCCATCCTTAGTGTCATGTCGTTTACACAAAATAAAGTTTTACGTATTGTTCCATGTATATGATTGTTTATTATGATAAATATATTTGTATATTTATGTGTAAACTATATATTGTTTATTTTGTATGATTAGTGTTTATACATTTATACATTTGTATGTATATATATATATATTCTAATTTTATTTAGGGCAGCCCACGAGCCCGCCATACCCATGTTCAGGGTGAGCAGAATAATGTATTTCATGCCCTATTTAAAAATAAGCATGTTCATGCTCAACTTAATTTAGATAGATATTACATGAGCACATGTTGAGGAATCTTAATTGCCAATACTAATGAGGAACCTATTTATTTAGTCAAAAACATGTTAGCATTGTGTACAATAAAAATTTGGACAAAAATATCATTTTTACTTTAGAGAAATAAAAACCTAAATGAAAGCATTTTAGTAATATCAATCTTCAAATTAAAAAAATAATACCAATCTTTTAATTTGAACATTGATATTACTAACATGTTTTCATTTAAGTTGTTATGTGTTCAGAATAAAAATGATATTTTTGTCCAACTTTTTATGATACACTACTAATATCTTGGTAACTAAAAAAATGAAGTTCCCTATGTTAACAAACTCTTATGCTTTAATTTGTTTAAAATATAAACAGAAGTAAGTTTTGGGAAATACAAACAAGTTGGAAAAGTGAGTGCTAATGGGAACATTAGTGTCAATAACCTTTCCCATAATTTGAATATTTAATTTTAAAACCCTGTCAATTTTCATAATAACAATTTCTAACATTTCATTTTCAATTCTCTATCAATACTATATTTTAAACATATTATACATGTAATATATTTTAAACATATGATACATGTAATATATAGAAGGTTTTAAGTAATTGAGTAAATGAGGTTGTGAGTTCGAGTCTCATTCATAACAAATTTATAAAAAAAGAGTTATAAGGTGGTTTGATGTAGTGAGAATGGGTTGAATGTAACACCCTAGATTTTAAAGTCATTAAATTATAGTATCAGTCTTGGGAGTCTCACTTGAGCGAGAGAATTGTCGCCTGGGCGAGAGAGGCTCACCTGAGAGGGTGAAATCCTGGACTATACTGAAGGATTCTCGCTTTGGCGAGAGCTGTCTCGCCTGAGCGAGAGTTGTCTCGCCTGGGCGAGAAAAGTGGCATTCAGGCCTGCGAGACAGTAGATCCTCGCTTGAGCGAGATGATCCTTGCTTGAGCGAGAGCTGCCTTTGTGGGTTGGTTTATGAAAGCCCCAAAACCCCCAAAAGGAAAATGTGGTTATAAGAGAAAATGTGTTAAATGTTATATGATGAAGAATATGTTGTGTGTGGTTTGTTTATAATGATGATGTATTATGAGTTGTTGATTTGTTATATAAGGTTAATGTTTACTATGATGAACATGTATGGGTACGTTTGTAACAATGATTGGGTGATAAGTGTTTAATGGCAACAAATGGAAGAGATTATGTGATATGAGAATGATTGTGTTATGAGTATGTGTTATAATGTTGAATACAAAGTGAAT